TCAGTTCTTGGAGCTCAATATTGTTCCCGACGATTGGAGACGAGTAAGGGTGATAGCCATTAAAAAGCCTGATAAACCCGCGTCGGATCACAATTCGTATCGGCCCATCGCGATGCTGTCGTGTATTCGGAAATTGATGGAGAAAATGATCCTTTTTCGCCTCGACAAATGGGTTGAGACGAACCACCTTCTTTCAGATACTCAATTTGGTTTCCGTAGGGGTAAGGGAACGAACGACTGTCTCGCGTTGCTTTCCTCGGAAATTCAGTTGGCTTTTGCTAAGAAAGAGCAAATGGCTTCTGTGTTCTTGGATATCAAGGGGGCTTTTGATTCAGTATCCGTTGAAGTTCTTTCAGAGAAACTCCACGCTTGTGGATTGTCTCCATTAATGAATAATTTTTTGTACAATTTGCTGTCAGAAAAACATATGAGCTTTTCTCATGGGAACTCTACAGCTTTTCGATTTAGCTACATGGGTCTCCCCCAAGGCTCATGTTTAAGCCCCCTGTTGTACAATTTCTACGTTAGAGAAATTGATGTCTGTCTTAGTGACAATTGCACGTTGAGACAACTTGCAGATGACGGCGTAGTGTCTATCACAGGGCCAAAAGAGGTTGACCTGCAAGGACCCTTACAGGATACCTTGGACAATTTGTCTACTTGGGCTATTCAGCTAGGTATCGAATTCTCCACGGAGAAAACTGAGTTGGTCGTTTTTTCTAGGAAGCATAGCCCAGCACAACCGAAGCTTCAACTTTTGGGTAAACCGATCACTCATTCCATGTCTTTTAAATATCTCGGGGTCTGGTTCGATTCCAAATGCACCTGGAGATCCCACATTGAGTATCTGAGACGAAAATGCCAACTAAGGATCAATTTCCTTCGATCAATTACCGGAACGTGGTGGGGAGCCCATCCACAAGATCTTCTGACGTTGTACCGGACAACGATTTTATCGGTTTTAGAGTACGGTAGTTTTTGCTTCCAGTTGGCAGCTAAAACGCACATCATCAAGCTGGAACGGATCCAGTATCGTTGTCTTCGTATCGCGTTAGGATGCATGCACTCGACTCATACTATGAGTCTCGAAGTGCTGGCGGGCATGTTGCCACTATCCGTCCGTTTTTCAGATATCTCTTAGGCTCCTCACCCGTTGCGAAGTAATGAACCCACTGGTGATCGAAAATTTTGAGAAGCTTCTGGAGCTAAATCCTCAAACATGTTTTATGACTTTGTACTACCTATATTTAACACAGGATGTCAGCCCTTCAAGAAATATTCCCAATCGTGTAGTCTTCTCCGATTTCGGCAATTCAGTGAATTTTGATTTATCTATGACGCAGGAAATCCGCGGAATTCCAGAGCATCATCGTCCTATGATTGATCCGTCATTATACGCTGCAAAGTTTGGCCATGTTGATTCTGCAAGAACGTTTTTCACAGATGGATCTCTAATAGAGGAGTCCGCTGGTTTTGGTGTATTTAATGAATTTCATAGCGCCTCTCGAAAACTTGAAGCTCCTTGTTCTGTGTATGTGGCTGAACTGGCAGCAATTCACTACACTTTGGAAACTATTGCTTCACTTCTTCCACACCACTACTTTATTTTTACGGATAGTCTCAGTTCTGTCGAGGCTATCCGTTCCATTAGGCCGGTAAAGCACTTCTCGTATTTTCTCTTGAAAATACGAGAACTGCTTAGTACTTTATCCGTGCGCTCTTTCATCATCACCTTCGCGTGGGTCCCTTCGCATTGCTCAATTTTGGGCAATGAGAAGGCGGATTCACTTGCGAAGGTGGGCGCTATGGAAGGCGACATTTATGATCGACAGATCGCCTATAGTGAATTTTTCTCTATTTATCGTCAGCAGTCGCTCGTTAGCTGGCAACATCAATGGAGTGAAGGGAGCTTGGGACGATGGCTACATTCAATTATCCCTAAGGTGTCGAAGTTTGCATGGTTCAAAGGGTTGGACTTGAGTCAAGACTTCATACGCGTGATGTCTCGTCTTATGTCCAATCACTATTGTCTAAACGCTCACTTGTTCCGTGTGGGGTTGGGAGACAGCAATCTCTGTGAATGTGGACAAGGTTACCAGGACGCTGATCACATCCTTTGGTCTTGTGCGGAGTATCGTGGAGTCAGATCACATTTTTATGATTCCCTTCGGGCTCGAGGTAGACAACCTAATGTTCCAGTTCGGGATATTTTGGCTAGACGCGATCTGGAGTTTATGAAACTCATATATGTTTACTTTAAGGATATTAACCTTAGATTGTAAGTTTGATTAACCTTGTGCTTAGTTTGTATTTTGTACGTGTGGGTTTTTTTTTTCAATGTTTGTTTTCAAGATGAATAGAAATAATTTCATGCTTTAGGATTAATTAAATAGTTGTATCGTAAACCACATTTCAAACCTCCTTCTTCCCTTTTCCCATCCAAAAAATTGTAAATCTCCACTAACCTCGAGACAACCGCGAGTACTCGGTCCAGTGCCTTTAACTTTAAATTTAAGACAGTAATAATGTATAACGCAAAGGATAACTCGGCTCTGTAAAGTTTATTCGATTGAGCCTGTACAAATAAAGTAATTATATAAAAAAAAAAAAAAAATCTCGGACTTTAAGCGTAAAAATTCATTGGTGTTGATTCAAATATTAAGATTTACCTACTCTTTGCAGATCTATAGTTAGCTATGATTCTAATCTATCAATTACTTTAAAGAAAAACAAATTTCAACAACTGAGTGAAAAGTTATTAACAAATGAGCAGTTGGTGTGTGCATGCCAAGCATGGCGTCGCATATCGATTTGTGATCTTCAGACGATCGACCGATTCCAAAAATACCCATATTGATGAGTCGCTGTCAGTATTTCCCACTTTTTCTGAAATCGCATTCCACCATCTTGGATTGCAAGATGGCGTCGGTCATCGATTTCCGGTCACTAGAAGTCAATCCGATTTCAAAAATATCCATATTGATAGGTAAACAAATCACGCGACAATGATAAATTTGACATCCACGTGCACAGATCTATGCACATGCGCTTAAATGGACTGAGTGAACAATCAACAAAAATCGCATCTATGCGAAAGTAAGTTCATTTGACAGTGAAAGACGAAATGAACACGAGTCAAGCCAAAACAAACAGCATGAAAACTGATCGAAAGTGGTTCTGTTGATGTTGAAGAGAAGACAGAATGACTTTCAATTGATTTTCCAGGTAGTTGATACCTTGTGCTTATAGGGACTGTTCATTAACTACGTAGACATTTTTTCGGGATTCTTGACCCCCCTCCCTCTGCGTAGACAATTGTCCATACAAAAATTTTAAAATGTGGAAATCGAGAAATTTTCCAACCCGAAAAATTCCTAGACGGAACCGGGAATCGAACCCAGCCACCTCCAGCATGGTTTTGCTTTGTAGCTGCGCCTTTACCGACTGAGCTGCGGAAGACCCTGGCGGAAGATTTTGGGACAAGTAATTTCAGAAAAGTGCAACAGTAAGGCACACTAAAAAATAAATAATTTTACACGTGACGGGATCCATCTTTGACATAAAGGATGAGACGTAAACAAACATGACATGTAAAATTAAGTGCTCCGAGACTGAAAAGTTCGAAAGTACGTTCGATTGAGCTGAATTTCGCGTCTATTATGACTCAATTTTATGTCAAAATTGACGCTCGTATGTCAGTCTCAGAGCACCTAAATTTACATCAATTTTTCTAAGTGTGTACATCCAATATCTCAGAAATTGAGAAATGTCTTATGCCCAAAGACATTCATAGCATATATGCGAATCAATTTCGAACCAAATTATTTTAACTTCAGATTAAATGATCTATCATATCAACCACGACAGGGCCAATGTTCCTAGCAATGAAACATGTCCAAAAAGATTCATAGTGTCTATGCGTATCAATAATGATCCAATTCGATTGTATGATTGTATGATCATGTTCTCCATATCGTCCTGGAGTTTAGATCAAATGATCTGCTAAATCAACCAAGACTGGGACAATGACCTTAGCAACGAGCATGTCCTTACAAATTCATTATATCTACGCACATCAATTACGATCCAATTCCTGTGTATGCAAGATGTTCTAGCTCCATCAAATCGTCTAAAATACATAAACCAAGCCTATTTACTAGACTTGATCAGTATGATCTGGCAACAAAAGCATTGCAGTTACAGAGATTTTGAATGCTCTTGCATGCGTCTATAATTAAAGAAATCAATTTGATCATTTTACTCCTCTGTTTGTATGTGTCTTCAATATAGAGATAAGGTAAACCAAAATATCCAATACGTCTCCACTAAATCATACCATTAACATAAAATTACATATAATTGTCATAAAATTCGACATTCGACCATGCAGCATTATTTTGCACCAAATCAAAGTAGGGTAAATGACGGCTTCTATTATCGTCGAGGGGGTAACCAACATCCTTGAGAGCTCAATTTTGGCATGTTTTTCAGAGCATCTATTGTCCAAATTTGAGTGCTCTAGGACTTTTTTACCCCCTCGACGATAACAGCTTAAGGTATTGCCGAAGCCGACTTTTCCCCTATACTATTCATATTTCCAAAAAAAAAAAAACACCCCCAAAGTCCTCGTTTTCATGTGCACACATTTTAGCATTATATTTGCGAACCTTTGTCTGTCACTAATACTGTTACAAATGTCTACACTACACACTTAGTTTTGTTTACCGAATCTCGGATATTTTTGCACCGCGCCGAGCAGCTCGGCTTTCAATGCGATTTCACAAAAAAAAAGACATTTACTTGCTGAGATTCAGCAGAACTACAAATCGTATTGCACAGCGCAGCTCGGGGGTGTCAAAATTATCGGGATTCGGCAAACAAAACAAAGTGTGTAATCCTGCTAGCGCTAGCGATATTCTAAGATTTTCCAAAAAGCCTACGCGGAGGCACAGCCATCAACAAGGACCGTGACCCCTAATCATCGCGAACCATGGTCGAACCTGTTCCAACATCTGCAGGGTGTCGTCGTCTAGCTCTTCGTCGTAATAACTGAAAAAATCTCCGTCCTGTAAAGTTTGAAGTTTAAAAAAAATGTACTTCTTGTTTTCACGCGTGTGTGTGTGTGTGTTTGTGATCTGCATGTGTGTTCGGTATGTTAACAACCAAGTGATGAGATATTTGCAAATGAAGATGTCGGGTGTGTACGGGCAGGTAGGTGGCACTCGAAGAAAAGTGTTAGAAAACATTCGCGAGCGTGAGTGCCTAGTACATTCAAGGCGAAACATTCAGTACATTGAGGGATTAAAACCGAGTGACATTGAAGTAATTAAAGCAAATGACATCCCTTCGCGGGGTTCGCAGATTTTAGTTACCACAGTGCTGTATGATTACGGAAAACAAACAGAGCGCAGGATGTTTAGGGGGAGGTTGGATTTGAGGGGAAAGGGAGCTTCTTTATTTTGTTGGATTGTAAGATTTTTTTTTTTGTTATTGAAATGTGATTGATTGTTGGTATATTTAATAAATATGGCACATTTAGAATATTACAACGACGCTCAATTACCTTATTTACAGGTGTGTGTCTTTCTCTGTTTGGTGATACGACTACTTCGTGACCAGTCTGTAACGATCCAACTGGTGTGGACTGTGAGGGATGAGAAGTAATCAGAACACAGAAAACATTTGAGTTAGATTGGTATTTATTGAACTCATTAGAGAAGTTTGTTACTGTACGATTCAAGCTTACTAGGGCGTTAGGGTTGTACGTTTTTGATTTCATCGATTCTAAGAAACAGATTCAACGCACAGCCCCAACACCCCAACACAAAAGGACACATCATCTGTAGCAATATACGCGGAAATGAAAAAAAAAGTAGCATTTTACCCAAAAGCAATCACTTCGTTGTGGATAATCCGATGGCAAATACGATTCAAGCTTTCTTCATGTAGTCTTCCTTGTGCTTCACTAGGGGGGTGTGACAGGGGAGCATGGATTGCGATAAAACAGTCTGGCTTACAAACATGGCAGAAGACCGGTTTCACGAGCTATCGATTTTTCCTTTTTGTTTTTCCTCAAACACTCAAAGGACTTTCGTCGGATTACACCCACCCACTCAGCGCGAACTGAACACAGCTTCTAATCCGGAAACAATTACATTAGCAGACTACACTTGCTTCAAATTGTTTCAGCTGTTCGCCAGTTTTTTTTTTAACTGCATTTCTAGGTCATCGTTACGGGTGTTCTACAATGTACTTATATCTGCCATTGCATCATTTGAGGGAAATCCGGAAGGCAGCTCGGGCCAATTAGGACCGAGCGGGGCAACTATGGCTCGCACACACAGCCCCATATGTGACAAGTGAGGGCCATTTTTTTTTTAGTTATCCATTCGTCGCCATATGGTTTCGTTGCGAGCGTGAAAAAGAGTTGATTCGGAAAAAGTGGCACACGGTGGAATTTCGGTTCACGTCGTTTCACAAATGATTTGTGATGATGTGCTACGACGAGGGCCAATGAGCCTGGGTTCACTTCCCAAACAACCAGACTGCATGTAAGTCAGACTAGTTTCTTCATATGCGTTCATATATATCGACAAATAGATCGTCAATTATTCATTCCCGGCTTAACGCCAAGAAGTAAAAGGTCCCCCCTATTGTGATTACCACTTCCGATTTCCATGCTCTTCTCATAGAGCTTTTGAACTTCGTTAAATTCAAGTTTTCACTTCAAATTGGTCGAAGGGGTGAATGCCGTGTATTGGCTGAAACCTTGGATGGATTCAAACGTTTTCTCAAGTATCTTGCTGAGAAGCAACACAAATTGTTCACTTATGACACCAAAAATTAACGTCTGTTCAAGGTTGTCTTGAAAGGTCTGCCCACTGGAGGTTATTTCCAAAACCTCACCCAGTGCCAGGGATGGGGTCGCGGAACAAAAAAGTAGAAGGATCTGTGCCTAGGGGCACGAACGGAAGCTTGACGTAGGACCGCTAGTCGACGGAACAAATGTGAACATTTAGTTCTTTTAATTGATTAATCATCAATTATCTTAACTCTTCCCGTTTTTTATTTGTAAGCGTATCAAATTTGTAGTATTTATTTCAAAGAGAAAGTTGATGAAGAGAATCCAAGGGACTGTCAACTTGAGTATTTTCGATTCATCTACCCGACTTTAAAAGCTGTATTTTGATTTTTTTTTTTTGTTATTTATGAATTTTTAAGTTTTGTGCATTTTGGTATTAAAGTGTATTCAATTCACCCCTCACAGGATTTCCTTCCAAATTATATAAATGGGGCGGGGCGGAAAGTATCGTTTGTGAAGAATATGTAAGAAAGGAGGACTTCGAGAGATTGAACTCGTGAGAGCTAATTTTCTCACAAATTTGATTTTATTGGCTTTCTGGGGACTGAATATACTCCCAAAGCGAATTATTCCCACTTCTCTCCAATTCTATATGGATTTTTAACACTTCCTACTGGCGTGTTCTGGAAAATGGTCGGACGATGATTAATTTCACCAATACATTTGGACCTACAATTCCATACCTTCTATAGAGACCAGGTTGAACCTTGATAGCTAGCTGCTTGTGGGAACTGATGACCTTGACAAATGTCCAAATAATACTCTTAACAAATTTATGGTGGTCCTGAAAAGGACCGTTTTGTAGTGATGGTTGAGTAATGCTGAGCTGAGCACGACGAGCTACTGATTCCGATCCTAGCCTAGCGGTGGGACTTCTTCCTCCTTCTCTATGGTTGCTCATATGAGCTCCTGCTGCTGCTGCTGCTGCTACTACTGCTGCTGCTGGACTGGACACCACCACTTACGGTGATTGAATAAGCACCGTTCAGTGGGACCGCATCGAATTCGATTTTTAAGTCTGTGTTAGGGAATGCGCTGTTTTCAGACATTCGGTGATAATTTTGATCACCATTGCAACAGTTGAACATTTGGTATTTTTCAATAGTGACCTATTGAAAATAAACTAAATGTTCATTTTAGCAGATTAGTAGATAAATTTCCAATCGTTTGGCTTGTTTAGAATTAAAATCTATCTGCTATTGGTCGAAACCTGACCTCTTTTCGTAATGCTGTGCATTTTGGTTTTTTGAAATTGCGTGGATTCTATAGATCCTGTGGAAATCCATCTAGCCCTGATGTATGTTGAGAGAGAGAAGGATTAGTATTTTCCATTTAATTCCACTACTTTATTTGCTTATCCTTGACAGATACGCGTATTTCGTCTACAATGTGCAGACTTCTTCAGTGTCTTGTACTAATACTCGACTGAAGAAGTCTGCACATTGTAGACGAAATACGCGTATCTGTCAAGGATAAGCAAATAAAGTAGTGGAATTAAATGGAAAATACTAATCCTTCTCTCTCTCATTATACAGGTATTCCACTAAGACGCCCACATTCATCAGGATTCCTGATGTATGTGTTGGTAGAGGGAAAAATGCAAACTTTGCGGGAGACGATGTCTTAACACTCGAAAGCAATTTTGTGAAATATGAAGTAAAACAAATCCTAGCTAGTTCTGCATGATGATTTTGTTTGATTTTATTTATTTGGAAAGGACCGTTTTGTAGTGATGGTTGAGTAATTCTGAGCTGGGTGTTCAACACGGATGAGGCTGTCGAGCTGTAGGTCGTTTGGAGCGAGGGTGACACGCTTGGCATAGATGGCCGACCCGCAGCGACTCACGAAAAGCTACTGATTTCGATCCATAGCATAGCGGTGCAGCTTCTTCCTCCTTTGATGGTTGCTTATGTGGGCCCTGCAGCTCGTTGCTTGCAGGCAGCCTTTCATTGCTACTGGAGAACAATTTTCAACGCCACACGCCGAAAGCACTGCTACTGCTGCTTCTACTGCTACTAATTTCGACGACCGAACACCACCACACAGTGGTGTGGTCGTTGGGAGCGTGTGGTTCTGAGTATGGCGATGAGTGTGCAAAATATTACGCAATTCCATCCTCCCTATTTGCACGCGCCCGATGATCGGAGGTGAATGCCACTTCGACTTGTTTCGTCTACTTACTACTCTCTGACGACTGTGATTGGGAAGCAGTATATGCATGTAGGTAATTGGTGGATTTGTTAGTTAATTCGACGCTTTTGAACAATGCTGGACATTCACCAGTTTTTCAATAGTTTCTTGTTGAAAATCAACATTCAGATTGTTATCGATGCGTAGCCATATTTCTGATCGATTGGTGATAAAATGATTGAAATTGGACCAGGGGCAACTGAGTTATTAACGTACAAAATCTTTCTTAATTTGTTACATGTTCCATTTTCGGTTTTCACAAAGTGTACCCCCATATAGAAATCAAAGACGTAGCCCTACGTCAAAATTGCTACATTCTAGCTAAATGTATAAATTATGGTGATTCCTCTCACGCACGGACGACAGTCCTGTGAAGGAAAATCCTAAGGAATTTCAATGTTCAAATTGTGGTGAAAACCATCCAATCCAATTTTTGGCAAAGTAATCCTACAATCTCGTTCTAAGCGACAGGTAGGAAGCGCTCCACGTTTTCGACCAGGTATACTCATTTCTCTGCTGTTAACAACGGTCAGCGAGGAACAAATTCTACATTTGTAGCCGCAGGTACAAACAACTCCCCTGCTTCAAATTCTTCATCTATATCCGCTGTTAACAATGTTCAGAAAGCAAATGGAGCTACCTATGCAGCTATTGGAGTGGTAGATATCGAAATAAAAATTCCAACCAACATAATTCTATTTCGATTTAGGTAGCATTACTGCTCCTAAAATGGAATTTTTACAAAAATCAATAACTCCTTGTTTGATGCTATTCAACCTGGTGTAAAATTGGCTAATAACATAGTCATGACTTTGAAATTTCTATAATGAATTTTAAATTATTAAATATTTTGAATTGGAATTCTCGATCTCTTGAAGATAATGAGCACGAGCTATTTAACTTTATGAGAGTTCATAACGTGCATATTGCCGTTATAACTGAAACGTTCCTTAAACCTGACGATAAGGTTAAAATGCAAATTACATCATTTATCGAAATGATGGAGCCTGTGGTGGCGTTGCCATCATTGTTCAGAGACGTATCAAAAATAAAATTCTTTCTTCATTTGAAACCAAAGCATTTGAAACTTTTTTGTTTCTGTTGAAACAAAATTTGGACAACTTACGTTTATCGCTGTCTATTTGCCACTCCAATGCGTAGGCCAGCAAAATAATTTTCTCAAGGGTGACCTTCAGAAACTTACCCGTCATAGGTCTAAATTCTTCATTATTGGGGATTTTAATGCAAAACACCGCTCATGGAATAATGCTAAAAGCAATTCCAATGGTAATATTCTGTTTGATGATTGTTCTGCATGTTCACTATTCAATATTCAAACAGCCCAACACGTTTTTCTTCAGCAAAAAATCCCTGAACTATTGATTTGGTCTCAACTGATCCATGCTAACTTTGTACCCATGCTGGCATCGGTTCTTTTGAAATATCTCAAGAAATAATTTCTTATCCCAACAGCTTTACTTTCCATTTCCATAGAGCTGATTGGGAGCAATATCGAACATGTATGGTATATAGTTTTGATCCAAACATTCCTTTGCAAACCAAAGATGCTGTTAATTATGCTCTTTAATCTC